GCGGTTCAAACCCACCAGCCACTCCTCGGAAGGAAGGTTGGGCAATCCTACTTTCCTAGTGATACTGCCTCGGAAACCCAAGGAGGGGTCGCTATGAGTCAGGGCTGACTCGACGGCACATAACAACAACAACAACACATGCCCATCAGAGAAAGTTCAAGACCACCTACTACATACAAGAAAGTTTGTCTTTGTTGCAACAGAATCAAAGCCAAGGTACCTTGGCTTTAATGTATTCAAATTTTATGAAGATAGTACAGTAGAGCAAATTCTATTTTGTAAAAGTATTTAACAGCAACCTCTCCCATAGCACCTCTGATTCTTTCAGTCCTGCTTCCCAGAAGCAGGGATCTCGCTCTTGTTTGTTCACTTCTGGGTGCTAGGTGTCTCATATAGAAGGTGCTCAGTGAATATTTGTTGAGTTAATCTATTTCTATCATCTCCTAAATATAAAGACGTTAAAATAGAAATCTTTTTGTTGTTGTTGTTGTTACTGTTGTTAAACATTATGTTCATAGGAAAAACAGGAAGAAAGTGAACTTCGTTCTCTGCCACTTCCTTCCACTGCCCACTTGGCCGCTTTAAGTGTTGCAGTTGTTGAGTTAGCAAAAGAACAAGGGATAACAGATGATGACCTCAGAGTTCGGCAAGAAATTGTGGAGGAAATGTCAAAGGTTATAACAACATGTTTACCAGGTACAAATACATTTCATACTTAATTTTTTAATCCACAAAACTCTTCTTCTTGCTTCTTTTTGAACTTAAGGCAAATTTCTTAATGATTTACATTCTCTTTTCTCTGTCTTAAAAGTAGATGAATTTGTTTTATGGACTGTGAAATTTTGGGGGGAAAGTATTTAAAAAATGGAAATTGAGAATTTTGACATAGCATAATTTTGGTAATAAGCAAATGCCACTATAGAAAAAATTTTTAGTATCATTGATTTCTAAATGGACTTTTAGTTAAAGTAGCTTAAGTATAAATGTTCTAATCAGTCACTGAATAAAATTCCTATTGATTGATTTTGTGAAAAAGTAATTTACTTTAAGTAGCTACTATGGAGGTAGAATTTCTGTCTTTATAGAAAACCTAATTTTTGGTACAAAGGGGATTCAGTCCAGGTTTATTTCAGACATTTTATGTAAAGTCTGTTTAGCTCCCATCACTTTTTGTATCAATATAAGATTTAATTAAATATACCTTAAATAAGACTGTTATTTCTTACCACCAAAGGATTTACAAACTCTTGATATGTTATAGCATCATATAGATCCATTATGAGAACTATAAGAAAGAAAAATTGAAATTTAAAAAATGGAAAAAAATTATTTTGGTTTATTTCCGTGATGATATGGAACCCATAATACAATGAATACTAATTTAAATTATATGTAAAATTATTCACCATTACTTAAGAGAAGAAGTGAATATTTTAGATTTCAGTGATTTAGATGACTTTCAGATATTTCGTGAGCTTGGAAAAAGTAGACATATATATATATATATATATATATATATATGTGTGTAGACATCTATCTATCTATCTATATATATATATATAAAACTGAGTGTGAACTTACAGTTTCTGAAACACTAAAAAGTATTGGCATTGAATGTCTAATTTCTTCCACACTCAAAATACTATTCCTTACATCTAAAACTAAATGTAGTTTGTGACAGTGGTTATGGCTAGGTTGGTATATTTTTCTGTTATACATTGGATACTTAACATACTCTCAGTTATCCTTAACTGAATTGTTATTAAAATTTTGTTCAAACACTAGACTTTTATGAATAATTTCTCTCTTCCTTATTTCTATACTCTGAACTGAGAAATATTTTTTTATTATTTTATAGATCAGTAAGAAAGGGCATCATTCGTCTGTGATCATTATACTAGAAATGGAAGACATAGAATCAATATTTGCAGTTTTCCTACCACTGTTTTTTGAGTCCAGTTTTTACATTCCATTTTATGCTTTGATATTTTTCCTTTCTTCCAGAATGTTCACTTAGGTTATATGGCTCATCACTGACTAAGTTTGCTTTGAAAAGTAGTGATGTTAATATAGATATAAAATTTCCTCCCAAGGTAAGTGATTAGAAAAGAAGTCTTTATGTGTGGTTCTTAACTTAGTGTGTTTTATTGATGATCTCTTTAGATAAGAGATAAGAAATTATAAAACTTTGTTTTGTAGAGTGTTATCACTGTAACAAAGCACTGCTTTCGAAACTACTGTTGTTGTTGTTGTTGTTGTTATGTGCCGTCGAGTCAGCCCCGACTCATAGCGACCCCTCCTTGGGTTTCCGAGGCAGTATCACTACGGAAGTAGGATTGCCCAACCTTCCTTCCGAGGAGTGGCTGGTGGGTTTGAACCGCCATCCGTCTGGTTAGCAGGCAAGTGTCTTAGCCATACTAGTAGGCTTCAGAAGAGCCCTGGTAACACAGCCATTGAGTGCTACCTGAAGAGTTGATGGTTTAGACATACCTTTCTCTGTGGGAGAAAGACCTGGTGATTTGCTTCCACAAACATTAGCCAAGAAAGCATTGCTTGTCACACGGGGTCACTAGAAATTGGAATCAACGGCACCCAACAACAGTAGGTTTCAGACATAGGCAGAGGAGAAGAAATAAGGAACAATTAAAAAGTGGCGGGGGATTGGAAAAGGAAAAAAAGAAGAAAAGTGTTTATGTTTCAACATGTTGAACAGTTAATTGTTATGGGAAACAGTATAGAAAGTGGAAAGAACCTTATAATCAGACACATCTGCATTCACATCCTCGCTTCAAATGGCAAGTTACTTGACCTCTCTGAGCTTCAGTTTCCTTATTTCCAAAACAGAGATAATAACTTGATACATACAAGTAACAATCTTGTATGATAACAAGATAACAGTTGATATGGTACATACCAGATATATTAATTGGCAGTGTCTGGTGGGAGATAAGATAGGTACTTTTAGTAATTAGTATCTCATAGTATTAGTAAAGGAGCCCTGGTGGCACAGTGGTTGAGATCTTGGCTGCTAACTGAAAAGTCAGCAGTTCAAAATCACCAGCCACTCTATGGGAGAAAGGTATGGCAATCTGTTTCTGTAAAAATTTACTCCCTTGGAACCATTATAAGGCAGTTCTCCTCTGTCCTATAGAGTTGCTATGAGTTGGAATCAACTCAATGGTTTGGTTTTTTTTAAAATTTATCATTAGTGAAAGTACCAATATTGTTTACAACTGCTAACATTGCTTACTTTGTGGCATATAAAACATTTAAAATAACCAGTCAATATTTTATATTTTAATAAAAATATAAATATTTTAATATTTTGAGTGATTTTATAGTCAAAGAGATTTGATATGGGTGAAAGTTTTATGTTTTAATTTCTAGCCTGAATAGCCATTTACTTTACAATTAATGTATGATCATTAAATACTGTTAAATACTAGCACACATTAAATTGTAACCATTTGACAGGTTTGTTATGTAAAATTGTATTTTACTATAAACCTTTTGACCAATCTCTAGTTTGCATCCCTAAAAGTTCTAATCTCAACAAGTTGTCTTTAATTATCACTTGGTAAACTATTGTATTTTTACGCAAATAACACGGGTGTTATATGTTTTTTCATATGGTACAACCTCTGCACATAATTTTCATAAGCACGCTATACCAATATTTTTTACATATTGATGACTTCGCTTTCATTTTTTTTTTTCTGTCCAACGGATTTAATGCTAAGTCTTCATTTTGGTACCTGTTGATGCAGATGTTGGTTCCCAGAAGCAGACCTTCACTAGCCTACCCTCGAGTTTCTAAAGCAGCCCCTCTCCCAGCAGGATTCCTTCCCTGCTCTGCAAACTACTTTCTCCAATGCAGGAAGAAATCACTTTTTCTGCCCTGGAAACGGCCCTTGCCAGGGTGACCTGCCCCCACCCACGAAGTGCATAGGTTTGTGCACCCTGGGCCAGAGAGATCTCCGAGGTGAGCAAGGCTGGCGCACCACAGCTAAGCACATTCCACCCTGCCCTTTGGCTGGCAGTCTGCCATGCTCAGGTCATTTGAATCTCCCACCCATGTGGACTCTGGGGACATTTGTAAGAGCCATGGGTGCAGAGGTTCAGTGGATCCCTCGCTTGGATGAGACAGGTCTGACTGGCTTTCTTGGGGTACTGTGGGGCTGGGGCAGTGCACGCTCATAGTTGGCACTGCCCTGCTCCCTGACTTCTTGTATGGGTGACACTGTGGGACCTGGTCATGTGAGCAATGGCCCCTGGCCACCATGGGACCAGCTCTCTGCCCAGCCTTCCACCTAACCTTCTGCCCATCTCTTTTGCAACATACCTGGGTGTAGATATGCTACAAGGAACTCCACTGCCCTCAGGCCTGACTGTGAACTGCCCCAGAGCAAACATGCAGTTTCATTTGTTTATTTTCTGATTAGTGGAGTACTGCCAAACTTGATCCATGACTTCTTTTTATTTATTTATTTATTTTTATTGTGATTTGGGTGAAAGTTTAGAGAGCAAATTCATTTTTCGTACAGCAGCTCACATACACTTTGTCTCATGACATTGACTACAATTTACCGCAGTGCAACAGCTTCCCTCCCACTCTCTCCCCATACTTACCTCTTCCCTGTGTCCTTCCCTCCCATATACTCCTGCCCGTCAAGCTGTCTCACTGTTTATACACAGCCCTTCTATTCTCCCATGATTGATCTCTCCAAAGAGTGTATCCACCTAATATAAATAAATGTTCAGCTCATATACCTGTCTTTTGTTTGGCTGGAAGCCACAGGTGTGGGTTCAATTCCAGACCTGAAGGGCAGCTAGGGGCCATAGTCTCAGTGGTTCTACCAGGCTCTATCAGACCAGCAAACCTGGTTGGTCCCTTTTTTTTTTTTTTTTTTTATGATTTTGAGTTTTGTTCCACGTTGTTCTCCCTCTCTATCCAGGATCTCCTGCATAGATCCCTCTCCGAGTGGTTGACAGTGGTAGCCAGGCGCCATCTAATTTTTCTGGTCTCATAGTCTTATAGGCTAAGGATCGCATGGTGTGCCAGTCACTTGGACTAATTGTTTCCATGTGTCTTTGGTTTTCTTCATTCCTCTTTTCTCATCGTTGCATCTAGATGGCTGCTTGCAAGCTTTTAAGATCTCAGTCACTACTCGCCAGAGTAGGATGTAGAACAATGTTTTTGTGTAGTATGTTATGCCAGTTGAGCTTGATGTCCCCTATGGCCATGGTCCCGAGCCCCAGGTCCAACTACTCACTCCCTTTGGGTAGCTGGCTGTGGCCAAGAAGTGACTACAAGCTTGTCCCTTGTCAGCTCTACTGGATACCTGGGAATTCTTACAGAACATACAGATACACTTGAAAAAACGTCCTCTGCCAGCTGTGTATATGGTCATGGCCACACTCTTCCCTGCATAGACATACCTCATAGTTCAGCCTGTCCACCCATCATCTATCATGCGTATATATCAATGTTTGCCTTCACTGACAATGCAGAACTGTATTGCAGAAGAGTTCATTTTTGTTGTCTGTACCTCCTCTGCACCTCTCTATGTCTTCTTCTTCTTCACTGCCACCGTGTGATCACTTACATTTGGTACATCACCCTTCTCTTAACCCAAATCAATACTTAGATCCATGGCTTCTTGATCATGTCTTAATAGACCTTTATAATATAAATATGATAAAAAGTAATATTTTTGGACTATTGAAAGAGGGGAATAAGGCAAAACTCACTTTTGGAAATGTTACAAGACATTCATGTTATATACATGGTTACACTATACCAGAACTTTTAAGCATAATTTTGTCATTTCTGCCTGTTACATGTTTGTGTGTGTTATATATGTTAGACGTGCTATTTGCGAAAAAAATACAGTAATTTCTTTCTCACTTGGTTCTCTGTGAAATTCCAGGACCTTTTCTCACTCTAAGAATTCATTAATTCAAGTAGTATTGCTGGAATAATAGCTCTACATCCTTTATTAGATTCTACTTCTGTGAATAAGACTTGTTAACATAAAAATAAAATACTATTTTCTGTATTTTAAAACAGAGTGTGATTTTCTATAAATGTTATTCTGTAATGAAATTAAATTTTCTCTAAAGTTACGCTGTTTGAATTTGAAATTTGTATGTTGATTTAATTTAAAACTTTTTTAGATGAATCATCCAGATCTTCTAATACAAGTACTTGGGATTTTAAAAAAAAATGGTGAGTTTTTTCCCTTTATGTTTTTGAATTTGCCTAATGGTGTGCACCATTGACAGAAGGTTCTCTAAAGGTACTTTCTTTGTGTTGTTATGGCTAACCAAGTTAGAACTAAAACTTCTAGCATATTGGAATTCCTAACCAGAAGGCTGGCAGTTCAAACCCACCAGCCACTCCTCAGAAAGAAGGTTGGGCAATCTACTTCTGTAGTAATACTGTCTTGGAAACCCAAGGAGGGTTCTCTGTAAGTCGGGTCAGACTCAACAGCAGTGAGTTTCGTTTTTTGGGTACTATATAGTATGGATACGTATATTATTTGTTTAAGAAGTGTACTAGAAAACGTATGTTGCATGAACTGAATCATACCTTCTAAGATTTTTGTATATGCCTTGTCTGTCTGATTCCTCTT